GCCCCCCGAGCCCCTCCCGGCTCCGCCGTTGGGCCCGCAGCTGCCCCGCATTGCTTACGTGTCTGGGCCACAGGATGTGGGGGGCAAACATGAGCGCCAGGTTGTGGGCTGACATCTTGTTCTTGTCCTGCTTCTTGGCCGTCTGGTAGAGCAGGTCCAGCAGCAGCTTGAGCAGGTTGCGATTGGGCGGGGGGAGGATCAGGAAGAGCAGCTGCAGGGCTTCGACCGTTGGGCCCGCAGCTGCCCCGCATTGCTTACGTGTCTGGGCCACAGGATGTGGGGGGCAAACATGAGCGCCAGGTTGTGGGCTGACATCTTGTTCTTGTCCTGCTTCTTGGCCGTCTGGTAGAGCAGGTCCAGCAGCAGCTTGAGCAGGTTGCGATTGGGCGGGGGGAGGATCAGGAAGAGCAGCTGCAGGGCTTCGATCTGCCGCTCCTTGTCCGGCCTGCGGGTCTTGTTCCCCTTGTCATCAAACTGCATCAGGTCTGCAAGCCAGGTGCAGGCGTCTGAGCCACCTGGAGCCCCTCAGGGCTCCGTAGCCAGGTCCATACTAGCCAGATTTCCTCCCCGCACATCGTACTCCTCCAGCCACGCCAACCCTGGCTCCACGCCACTGACCGATGGAACCCCCCATGCCCCAGGTGGGTCTGCCCAACTCCTGACCCCGGGCTGAAGAGCCCACAGGAAACCCCCTTGAGGTCGCTGTTCCCCCTTTGGCCCCTCCTCTGTCCACCAGGCCCAAGCTCTGGGAGAGGAACAGCCCAGGCTGAGGCCCCTTGCCACCAGCTGCCCCGAGAGGCTCGGTTGGCTGCCCCTCCCTCGTGTCTCTCATGGCCCCTCTTGCCAACTCACCTGCAATTTTGAGGTGGGCTTGGAAGTGCTTGTGTGTCAGCAGGGGCTCTGGTAGCTCCCCCAGGAACACCTTCAGCAGGGAGGCCACGTCATTGGAGTGAAACTCCCCCGATTCCAGGTCCACGTCGGCCCCACTGTTCAGAGCGTCCTTCAGGATCTGCTGCCTGACGCTGTTCCCCGGCACCCGGAACAAGCCCTCCATTCGCAGGTCTGCCGGGCAGGGAGCGGGAGAGGGATGGCTCATCGTGCGGTGCCCTCTCCCAGTCCCCTCCTAGCGGCTAGCCACATCCCAAGGCCCTGGCAAAATCAGAGGGGACGGGGAGGGTTGGGGCTGCCAGCGGTGGCTCTCGGCCTGGCAGTGTTCTAGGAATGGCAAGGGGGCGAGCGTCACTTACGCTTGTGCAGGTGCTCGATGAGCTGCGAGACCTGGGCGATGCCCTCCTCAGTCAGCGGGGAGCCAAACACCACCCCCTTATCTGGAACAAAGTGATTCAGTCAGCGCACGTGGCACAGGGCCACGCCAGCCTGGCCCCTCTGGGGGAAGAAGCCACGCGGCTTCGGAGGCATTCTCATGCCGTGAGACCAGGTTTCCAGCAGGGGGTTCTCTTGCTGGGAACCCAGTGACCAAGAGAGTTGGGGTCAAGGTCCCAGGCGAACCCCACTGCTCTGACACCCCAAACACACACGTTTACCTGGCAAAGGCTGTGCCCCAAGCAGCTGTCACAAGGGGCTGCCGGTATCAATGTGGCTGCAGATTAATTCTCCCCACCGGTCTAGGAAAGCCACGCCAGACCCGGGACACGTGCCCCTTGCAGAACGTGCTGGCTACAGACCAGACCCACGGGGAGCAGGCTCTCTCGTCTTGGGGAAGTTCCGTAAGACGCAGCTTCCCTGCCAATGCCACGCCAGACTGCAGGCTTGTTTAACTGACCCTTTGGGACTCGGTTCTGACACAGCAGCCCCCCGTTTTGTCTCACGGTGTGGAGGGGGCCGAACTGGCTTTGCCATGCCCTGGCTGTGCGAGGCAGGGATGTGAGTAGTAACTTAAAACGTCGCCGTGTAACCACGGCCAATTGGAGCGGCTCCCCGGCGCCAAGCACTGCAGGCAAAGCTCATATATGCGCCCGGGAGGCTTCGGTGCGGGCTCTGCAGCCTGCCGGCCCCGTTCCTGGGGAGCCGGCACGTAACCTGCAGTGTGGGGAGTGGACCCAGCCTGCTGCTCCAGCCGGCTGGAGCACCCCTGCCTGCAGTGGGCCCCGAGGGCTGGAGCAGCCCCCTGCACTGAGGGGGGGGGTGAGCTGCTCCAGTCCCTGTGGGTTGACCACTTAGCCATTTCCATCCCTCGGGGAGGGCTGGGGCACAGGTAAAGCCCGGCTGACGCAGCCACGTCTGATTCTGTCCAGGGACACCCCTTTGGTCCCCACCTTCCCTGGCTGGCTGGAGTGCAGGGCCAGGCCGGCGCAGCATGCTACTGTGCCCAGGGAGAACGAGGCAGGAGGCTGCACAAAGTGGAAGTGGGGAGAGGTGGGGGCAGGGGAACAGGGGCATGGGCAGCGGCAGGAGAGCTCCCCTGCCGGCACTCGAGCTCTGCGTCGGTGCCAGCAACGAAGTCGACCCTCGTCCTCTGCTCATGGAACTAGAAGTGACGGAGCCAGAAGGAAGGAGGAAATCACCAGGAGAGAAGGTAGGGACGAGGGCTCTGCTTACGACACGTGGGCCAGCAGCCAAGCTGCAGGTGTGAGACGCCAGCCTGAATCCCCTGCCTCCGCTCAGCCACGCAGGCCCCCGCAGAGCAGGGCAAAGCCAGCAGGCGCCTGCATGGGGGGAGGTTTGAGATGCTTCATCAAGTGAAAGACTCTTGCTTAAGCAACACAGAGAATTGTTCCTAGCTGGAGAGACTTTCCAGAGCGGGTCAGTGTTCACAACAGGCGGAGAACTCTGCCTGTAACGTCAAGCAGAGGGATTGTCAGGGAATAAGTGACAAGAACAGAACACTGTTCTCCAGGGGCCTGATCTAACTCCCACTGGCTACAGCCGCCCGTGGGCCAGCAAAGAGAACTGATCACACAACTAAGTTAGTGGTTGCTTAGGTGCAAATGACTGTGACTTGATGATGTGAGTAGTAAGATGAAGGCCTAAAACAGAAGCCCTTGCGGCACAGGCCTGGCCTGAGGCCCAGCTAACAATGGCCAAACATGGGGAACATAAAGCTAAGCTGAGCTGTGAGCAAGAGGCAGGCCCCTGCTCCCAGGACTTGGCACACACAGGGCTGAGAGTGCAAAACACTCATTGGTAATAGGCCCAGGTGCAGAGCAATCATTGGGCCTGGCCACAAGTGGAAAGCACACGATCTCACTAGCTCATTTAAAAAGCCCTTGGTACCCACTGCTCACAGATACACCAGGGTCTAATCAAACCCCGAGGTGCAGGGTGATGGGAGGTATCTAAGTAGCATCAGAGGGTGGTAACCAATGTCAGAGGGTAGCAACCTGATACATCAGCAGTGAGGTGTGATTTGTTGTACCTCTATATAAGGTGGTGTCTTGGGGGGACAGTCTTTGGATGACCTGGGGGCAGTGGAAATTTCCCACTGGCTGAGTCATTCCATTGTGGCAAGTACATGTGCGTAGTGGTTCAGTAGAGTCTACTGACACCTCTGACTGTACTTCGCTTAACAATAAGCCTGGCCTGGCCCCTTCGATCCTTATCTGGGTTGTGGTCTTTGGGGCTCTCTTGGGGTCTGCTGTGGAGACTAAGTGCACAAGTCGACACGGCCCATATCACTGAGCACACACGCGAGCAGCCTTCTGGTTCTCATCACCGGAGCCAGAGACCTGTGAGGACACCTTGGCAGTAAAACCCGACTGCCTCCTGAATACTACAATGTGCAAACACAATACAATCCAAGCCAGCAATACGCACGCACACACGCACGGTGCTTTAACAGGGACAATTTCACAAAGCCGACATTAGGAGCCAAATCAACTGGGAGAAAAGCGGAAGCATGTGAATGTAACTTTCAGAACCCTGCGTTACATGTTCAGGCTGCACTCACTGGGAACCAGGAATGGCAGAAAATTGAGAAGGGAGTGCAAAAGAAACCTATGGCCAGCAGAGTCCAGAAGAGTAAAGCAGGAGGCTCTTTAAAGAACATTAGGCGCAAGACAAGTTCTAACAATGGCACTGGTCCATTAAAGATGGAGGTGGCAGAACTCGGTAATAAGGAGATGGCAGACACAGTCAATAAAAGTTCTGAACCGCGTTTGGGGGAGAGGCCAGCTATGCTGACCGAGGAGGAGGACATGGATGAAATACCTTCCATTCCAATGGTGGCTGCGAGGGGTTTGAAAAGGCAGCTACTAAAGTTTGATTTTTTCAAAAGCCAGGTTCTGCTCAAGAGCTGCAGTGAAGGGTTTAAAGAGCTGGCCTAAGCGCGGAGTTTAGGGACACCAGGGAAGTCCTAGGAGACTGGAAGGGAACGAGAATTGTGCCAATATGTAAAAAGTGCAAACAGGACGAGCAGGGTAAGTGTAGGCCTGTCACAATCGGACTTGCGGCTTGGTAAAGGAGTGCAACAGCCACCACAGACTCAGTTAACAGACTGGAAGGAGGGGATGGCATTACGGCTAGTCACATGGATGTACAGAATCACAGAATCCAGGGCTGGAGGAGACCTCAGGAGGCATCGAGTTCAGCCCCCTGCGCTAGGCAGGACCAGCCCCGACTCAATCAGCCCAGCCAGGGCTTCGTCAGGCCAGGACTTAAACACCTCTAGGGATGGAGACTCCACCCCTCCCTAGGGAACCCAGCCCAGTGCTTCCCCACCTGCCTAGGGAAATCATTTCTCCTAATCTCCAACCTGGACCTCCCCCACTGCAACTTGAGACCATTGCTCCTTGTTCTGCCATCTGTCACCACTGAGAACAGCCTCTCTCCAGCCTCTCTGGAACCTCCCTTCAGGAAGTTGAAGGCTGCTCTCAAATCCCCCCCAAATCCCTCAGCCTCTCCTCACAGGTCATGTGCTCCAGCCCTCTCGTCATTTTGGTTGCCCTCCACTGGACCCTCTCCAATGCGTCCAAACCTTTTCTGTAGTGGGGGGCCCAGAACTGGACACAACACTCCAGATGTGGCCTCACCAGAGCCGAATAAAGGGGAATAATCACGTCTCTAGATCTGGCAGCAATGCTCCTCCTAATGCACCTTAATATGTCGTTAGCCCTCTTGGCTACAAGGGCCCCTGTTATCTCATATCCAGCTTCTCATCCACTGCAATCCCCAGGTCCTTTTCTGCCGAACTGCTACTTAGCCAGTCAGTCCCCAGCCTGTACCAATACTTGGGATTCTTCTGTCCCACGGGCAGGACTCTGCACTTCTCCTTGTTGAACCCATCAGATTTCTTGTGGCCCAATCCTCCAATTTGTTTAGGCCACTCTGGACCCTATCCCTGCCTTCCAACATATCTACCTCTCCCCCAGCTTAGTGCCATTTGCAAATTTGCTGAGGGTGCAATCCATCCCCTCATCTAGGTCATTGATAAAGATGCTGAACAAAACCAGCCCTAGAACTGATCCTTGGGGCACTCCCTCTTGAAACCGACCGCCAACCTGACACTGAGCTGTTGATCACTACCCGCTGGGCCCAACAGTCTAGCCAGCTTTCTGTCCACCTTACAGGCCATTTATCCAATCCAGACTTTCTTAACTCGCTGGCAAGAATATTGTGGGGGACCGTATCAAAAGCCTTGCTAAAGTCAAGGTCTATCACAGCCACTGAGTTCCCCATGTCCACAGAGCCAGGTACACATCAGTGAGGGTTGGGGGAGGTTTTTTTGCCTCTCACTTGTGTGGTCTCCAACCGATTTTTTTCTGTGGGTCAGTGGCTCCCGACACAAAAAAAGGTTCCTCATACTTGCCACAAAGAAAGAAAACACTGAAAACTTTTGTGTTGGACATAAGGTTTTACTTTATTTAAAATGAAGTTTGATAAACTAACATGAGAAAGGTAAAGTGCTTAATCTGTTTCCTACTTCAAATTAAACCAGTCTCCCAAGCTGCAGCACTAGCAAAATGGCTCAGGCGTAATTATGTAATTAATGGTGAGTTTTCATTAGCAACTGGTGGTCTGTGGAAAGGTTTACATTGGGCCAGGTGGTCCACAGGCCAAACAGTTTGAGAACCACTGGTCTAGAGCAGTGTTTCTTAAACTTTGAGACCATGGAACACCAGGTTTTTTTTAAATGCGGAACACCTATGAAAATTTTCTTTAAAAAAATTGCCAGACAAAAAGAGACAAAAACAAAGAAGAGGTCGCAGCACACCTGCAAGTTGCTCCCAGAACACAGCTTAAGAACCGCTGGTCTAGAGCATTGATTTTAATGCCTTTCAGAGAGGATGTCTCCACCAGCACAGATTCTATTGAGAACAGCCCAGAGAGCTTGACCTTTCTTGATACAATCTAAAAGTGTTGTCACAGCTAT